CTGCAGCCTCATTAGCGCACAGCAGTGAAGGAGAAAAATTACTTATTTACAAAATTTTATAACAGAAACTAAGAAAAAACATTTTTCTTTTTTAAATTTCAGTTTTTGGTTTGTTTATATTAAATACCACCAAAAGAAAGCTCTATCTGTCTCCAAAAAATTATAAAAATTTCATTTGAGTACAGTGTTGCATGACCACGCAATTGTCATTCAAAGTGCAACAGCACTGAAAGCTGAAAAATGGCCTGGGCAGGAAGGAGGTGAAAGTGCTCGGTAGACAAGTGGTTAAAACAGATTGCACCACAGATGCTTCTAAACAGTTTGAGTGCGTTTTTAGCAGGTAATGTGCGCTGAGGCTTATTAGATGTGATTGCAGTGCTGTGTAAATGTACTTTCCATATCCACTGCACTTGTCAGTTTACAACAGGCATGGTTGGCTTCTGTAAACATGCAAGGTATATTTGTACTGATGTGTGGATGAGACCTGAGACTTGTATTGATGCAAGTTGTGTGACAGGCCTCTCGTGGCAGAAATGCGTCTGCCTTTTAACAATGTTTATAAACCTATTTTGGTAATGACTGTCACCAGTCTACCACTAAGGCCGCTTTCACATGGGAGTTCAATGTCAATTTTTCATCCGTCTGCTGACTGATGAAAAATAGACAGCAATGCATTCCTATGGGCAGATGTAAACGGACATGGCCAGTTCACATCAGTTTTTCATCTGCTTCCGTTCAGGTCCGTAATTGTTTTATTTTTTTAAATTTTAAATGGGGCAAGTCTGTGTTTTTGTTCTGTTTAGGCCTTTTTTATGCGAGCGGACTCGCCTGCTCAGTGGGCGATGTGTCCACTGATCCCCACTGAGCAGGCAGATGAGAGGTTCATGTCCCTGGCCGCAGATTTTTGGGTTTTGTGTTACAGAACTCAGTGCATACCTACTCACCTTTTGTGAATGTCTCAATTGAAAACAATGCAGCTGCTTTAAGATCTGTAAATAAAAAAAACTTGTAAATGCTGTGTTTTTTATTTTTTATGGCTTAAATTATTTTCAAAAAGCAGAAATAAATAAATAGGGCCTCTGCATAACTGTCTGAAGAGAAAATCATTTTTGTTTCTGATATCAAAAGTGATTACTTTTACTAAGCCAAAAATGCACATGCTCATAAAGTTCTTCCTTTCACTCCAACTATTGTCCAAAGAAAGTAAAAGAAAACCATCTGGGCTCATATGAGCTAGTATTGCCTTACAGGGGAACAACATAGTTCTATAATCACAAAGATGGGCAAACAAATGTACCCACCATGCCTATCCCTACCTACCAGAAGTCGGCCATAATGCTTAGCAGCAGAGGTAGTACCTGTGAAATGAAGTTACGTAGTTGGTGAGGTTGACTAAAGACCCAAGTCTATCTGTGTGTGTGTTTGTCACTGCCATTTTCCATATTCCTGTACATTGTGCTCTTAGGCTTCATGCACACTGGGGCTCTTCTGACTGCTTTCCTCCTGACAGGAGAAAAGAGGCTTCAAAAAGCACCTTAGCCGTGTTTTTGCAAATGTGTGCGTTTTCAAAATTAATTGTAATATTCTGGCCAATGAAAATGACTAAAAGCTCAAGTGGCAAATGCGGCTAGCTCTTGGGCACGTTTTAGACACATCTTGGTGTTTTTGTAAGCCAAAACACTCTCTCTGAAATGCACAAGTGAAGTGTGTGGGTTTTTTCTCCCTCCCCCCGGCTCTAAACTACTGTAAACGGCTATGGGTAACACAGAGAGGCTTTTAGAGGTAGAAAAAATAATTTGAGCTTGTGTGCATGAGGCCTAAGGAGTCCCTCCAAAAGTTCTTTAGTTTATCTACAGTCCTGCTGACAACATCAACTGTGAAGGGAGTTTAAGATCCTTACTGCTTTAACCGTAAAGAACCCCTCACACAATTTAAAGTGTAACTTTACTGAAAGTAAAAGAAAACCCTACATTTTGTGTTGTCCCCAGAAAAGTAATAGGGAAGAAATCTTCCAATGGGGACACTAGGTCTGGTGACCTGGGGGTCCCTAAGGGATTCCCATGATTTTCAGAGGTTTTCTCTCACGTCTTGTTTTAGCTATGGGACAGAAAGTGAAGGAAAATCTCCAAAATGGGACATAGATGGCAAAAAAAAAATCTGATGGGTTATAGCCCTCCCTTACTCTATCCAAAATGACAAAAAAAAAGTGTTACCTATAGTTTTCATTGACTTATTCTAGATTTACAGTGATAGAAATATAATAAAACTTTATTACGGTATGTTATATGTGCAGTGGTTTTGCACAGAGCAGCCGATCCTCCTCTTCTCGGGTTTCCCGCTGGTTCTCCAGGCTCCTGCCTAGTGCCCCCATAGCAAACAGCTTGCTATGGGGCAACCAAGCAGGCTTGCTCCCAAGCCTGTGGTCTGTGTTCATTCACACAGAGTTTGGCTCAGCCCCGCCCATGCTCTTTTCTCATTAGCTCACTGGCTGTGATTGCCAGTAGCAGAAGCCAATGGCTACTGCTACTACCTCAGCTATTGAGGATGAAGAAACCCTTGCTGGATCGAGATGGGGCACAGGTAAGTATTGTTTGGGGGGGGGGGGGGGCTGCTGCACACAGGTTTTTTTTTTACATTCATGCATAGAATGAAGAAAATATTAAGTGCAGTGCTAAATAAACAATGTGAAGTGACAAACCGATTATTAGAAGTGCTCACAAATGAATGTCCATATAAATCAAGTGTTCAATATATCATAAACATATGAAAAAGTGTTCAATGAGTGTACATCCACCACCCTAAAAGTGTTCTTGATTTGTAGACAACACAATTCAGTTGTAAATGAACCACCACCATCTCCCAGTGCATTACAAACTCACCAGAGCTGATAGCTGCCACTACAGCAGCACAAACGCCCATATAACCTAGCAGAAACGTATGTATCTTGTCACAGCAATCAATATGTGGACGGCATCTTCTCTGCCCAGACTCTGGTAAAAATAAGGCTCACCAGGAGCAAGAAATACTTTCAATAGTGTAGTAATTTATTGATAAAACAATATGTAACCTCAGTTGTACAAAACAGAAAATAGCCAGCTTACATGTGCAGCCGCTGCGACCCGGGACCGAGAGCAGTGGAGTGTCGTCAGCATTGTTACTCCCTACTGACGCATTTCGTCCAATAGGACATTCTCAAGGGCTGGTACAGTGCTAGCATCTTACATATTCATAAGGTGTCTGGTCCCCACCCTCCTCCATTCAATTGCACACAAAACTGGAACTGGACATGTACAAGCATCCATCTTAGAAAAACCGAGTGTCAGAACCGCCATCTTGAAGAAGGTCATTACTAGATGGCGATCAAAACCAGATGTAAAGAACCTCCATGTTACTGGAGGGCAAACAACAGAAACAAAGCCGTCTCTTAATAAATCAATGAATAAAAATCCAGACCAGTGACAACCTGGTGAAAGAATATATATATCTGGTCTCTCCATAAGGGAGTGAAACTATTTTGTTACTATCGTATATGAAATGCAGGAGACTGGGAACGATCCATATAATTACATAATAAAACAGATATAAAGTGGTAATAAAGACAATCTATATATTTGGTATCTATGCAGCAGTTGATATCCCAATCTGAATTCATACCAAAAGGGACATATGACTTAATTTTGCATATTTAACGCATATCAATTTGAGATCTCTCTCGTTTTATTAAATCCTCTCCAATAGATAGAATGAAGAACCTTTACAACCACTTTAAAGGCCTGGTGGCCTGACTCAGATTACTAAGTTCCATCTTTTTATTTAAAATATACAGATCTCCAGGAAATGCTAATGCCAGTAGGAGGCAGGTGTAAAGTACTGTCTTTTCCCAGATATTGCTACCAAAAACTGTGACCAGAGCTGCAATACCATTGGCACAATCACTGGTCTGTTTTCTTCATCTTGTCCTCACTTTTTTATGAATGGAAATGGTCACTGCAAAAAAAAAAAAAAATATTAGACTTTACCTGCAATTACTAATTTTGTCCTTGAATAACAAGGACAAAACATAGAGCACATGGACCTGTGGTAGTGAACAATGAACCGAAGAAAAGGAGGTGACAAGGGAAATTTAATACTATGCTATCCTTTTCCATAGAGGTATCCAGGACAGCTTCTGGACCCCAGTTATATCTGTCAGTGGAGAAATCCAGATTTTTTTTTTTTTGTCCTTTATTCATTGTAACAGTAGATGGCAGTATTGCTTAACACTGAGCATTTTCTATTATACAACTTTGTAATTCTACCTGGAATTAAGGTTTAGGAACAGTTTAGTCTTTGCTTAATTACAGGCCGCTCATCCTTCACTTCAGGATTTTGTAAAATACTTCTTTATAGTGGATAACGTTAGATACTGGAAATAACTTCAATAAAAGTAGGAATATGTTGTCAGCAAGAGCTTTGGGGGTAGAGGGCAGTGGCATTTAAATAGTTATCCTGCCTGCTTACCTCCCTTGAGGAAAAGTATTTATCCTGTCCAAAACTCATACTGTATCAGGAAGTCTATGTGAATCTACATTACAACTGGTGGCAAGGTAGATTTCAGTCATGGGATATGAAGACTGTGGGATTCCAGTAACTATACATTTGGGTATGGGGGGGGGGGACTTTCTTAGGAAAGCTAGACAATGCAGTTTTCACAAAAGGTAATGTTTGCCTATGCATTTTTTTTCATCCTATGCTCAGTATAAATTGCCCATGTGCAAGGTTTGTTAATAGCAGCTCATGTTAACTTAATTCAGTGGTGCCAGGCAGCAGTGGTATAAATTCACAAGAATTAAAAACCAGATCCCTATAGTAATAGGTTGTGATCACCAGTTGTACAGGGTTAGAACTATAACAGCAAGGTGTGTAATAGCAATGATGCCATATATTGTGTGCGAGGAATTGCTTAGTCTGCTGATTGTTAACCTAATATGAAGGATTTCTGTTGCCTTTTCATGTTTTAGGTATACCATGTTGATTCTGACAGCTATGAAACTGAAAACCAGCACTACGGACGGAGTTTAAGTAAAGAGACTGTAAAAGAAGGTGAGTTGTATTTGAATAAAACCTTAGGCTGTATGTATTGAAGGTACCTAATTTTCTTTTAAGAAGAGTTTTTTAAATTGTGTGGGGTTTTTTTTTTTAATAAACATGCTACACTTGCCTGTTCTGTGCAGTGGTATTGCACCAATCTACCCTGATCCTACTTTTCTGGGGTTCCCCTCTGGAGCTTTAGGCTCTTCCTCTTGGTGCACCACCATAGGAAGGCGCCAATGGCTTCTGCTGCTGCATCTGAGCCTGTGTGAAGGAAAGGGAGCAGTGCTGATTGCAGACGGGCACAGCACTAGATCGATATAGGTCACCTCCCCATCCACAAACTTGACTTTCACTGATTCAGGGCTGTCATGGATTCACAAGAGACACTGAGCAGGAGAAGTCTATGGCTGTGAGCCTATTGTGTGAGGAGGGAGCAGGTGGGCTGGCTTGTTGACTGTGTGTGTGTCTCTGGAAGCACACAGCCCAGCTCAGGAGCATAGGGATGGTTGCCCCCTTGCCAGCTGGCTTACTAAGAGGAGAAAGAAGGAGTGGACAGTGCCAATGGAGGACTGCGAGTGACCGCTCTGTGCAATATAATTTTTTCTTATTTTAAGACAAAAACGTTTAGATTCCCTTTAACCTTTTCGTGACCACATATACGCACATCTCCAGGAAGTAGGCTTTAATCCTGGGAGCCACATAGGTGTTCCTCTGTGCTGGAGATGCTCTCCTAACAGGAAGAGCTCCCCAGGAGGAAGTCTGTACAGACAAAAAAAAAGTCTGTTGGGAAGAAAATATAAAGTGTAACTAGTTCAGAGCTTGATATATTTTTAGTGACTGTTAAACTGTATTCACACAGACAACTAGCAACAGTGCGAATGACAACGACAGTTATCTGCTGACTGCTGCAGCAGTTTCTACCACCTGTGAGTCTCTAGCTTTGGCTGCTGGGCCCTTTACACTTCAATGACTAGTTGGTGGTGGCCGCAGCTATCTGTGGCTGTTCACCTAGCCAGTAATCACTGCAGGTAATCCGTGGCTGGGCGGACAGCCATGGACAGCTGCACCCGCTGCTGACATGTACAGGGCTTGGTGACTGCAGCTAGCTAGCTGCATAGGTGGCAGAAGCATCTGTGGGAATCAGCAGAGTCATGCCTGTCATTCGCCCTGGCGCTAGTCACTCTTGCAAAGGCAGCCTTGGCTGTTGGTGGCACTGTAAGTGTCAATGTAAATTTCAGTTAGTATTAATATCAGTTAGTGGCAGTGTTAGGGTCAGTGTTTTTTAGGTAAGAAAAACTGGTTTTATGTTCAGTGTTGGTGCAAGTAGTGTCAGTGTGTTTCAGTAGGACAAGAACAACAAATGCGCACTGTTTCTTGGCTCTACTATGGGTATCGCTGCAATCATTGGGAGCAGAATTTATTTGGCAGGGTTTTTTTGGTGGTGGGTCATGGTAATGGCACCAAAATATAAGGCTAGAGTTTTAAACAGTTTTTTTTTTTTTTTATTTATTTATTTTAACTATTTTGGGATGGTTTTGTTTTTGGAATGAAACAAAATTGAGAGCTGTCCGTCAACCTTTACAACCAAACGAAAGCCTAATCTGTCCTGAAAAAGAGATGATCCACCTGGATGCACTAAGTAGTTGCGATATGTACAATTATGTTAACATAAATATATTAACACGCATGCAAAATTGGATTTGAGCAGTAAGGTTTGTTTTGACCCTGGTCATAAGGGGGTTAAGGTACCAGTTACCTCCTGGATTCCTGTTTTTATAAAAAACTTTTTAGCCATCTTTCATTGTATTCGATTCTTCTCCTCCGCATTTAAGTAGCTCCACTTCTCAGTTTTTATTCCAAAATGTTAGCAGCTGATAAACCTTCACCAATGATGTTTTGCACACAATACATTTGCATGCAGATCACTTATAAATGTTTTGGATTAGCATCTCAAGCTTTTCAGACTTGAAAAGAAACCTGATGAGAGAAATACTTCATCCACGTTGAGCACATCTTTCTGAGAATAATTAAATGCCTGACTGCCATGCTGATCTTTCTTTCCATTGTTTTCCATCATTGAACTGAAACAGGTGTACAGCATACTTTTCTGGGTCAGTGACTTGAGAGTATTGAGATGAGGGTCAGTACTCCAACCTGGAAATTTTTTTTATTTTTGAGAGGGAAATGTGTGTGTGACCACGTGCCTACTGGGCACTTTTACCCTCTTTGTGCTCATTCCAATTTTCAGCTTTCAACGCTGTCGCACTTTGAATAACAATTGCACGTTCATGCAACATTGTGTCCGTATGAAATTATCATTTTTTTCACACAAATAGAGCTTTCTTTTTTGGGGTAGTTAATTGCCACTGGGTGTTTTATTTTTGCACTATAAACAAAAAGCAAAACATTTGTAAAAATTTGATTTCTTTGTTCTATTGTAAAGTTTTGCAAACAGGTAATTTTTCTCCTTCACTGATGGGTGTTGATGAGGCTGCACTGAATGGCAGAACTACAGTGCCCTGATGTTCATTGCTGACCTGTTCAATGGCAATTGCTGGTTTTCGTCACACTGTGACAGCGTGAGTGCTGTCGATAACCCGCAACTGTGATCTTGCTGGTGATTTGGACACAGCTAATCACGTGGTAAAAGGCCGCTATGATTGACCTTTTACCTCATCACCTGATCAATTGTGAACTGGACAACTACACTATAACCGTTATTGCGGTTGGCAAGAGGTTAAAGGCTAAGTTCACCTTTTTTTTTTCTCTAAAATCCAGCTCTCCTATGCACCAATATACAGCGGGTAAAATAAGTATTAAACACGTCACCATTTTTCTCAGTAAATATAATGTACCAAGACATTCTTAAATAAAATCTGCTGCCATCTACCAGGATGATGATGAAACGAGGGTGGACATTTCAGCAAGACAGTGTTCCCAAACAGAAAGTCAAGGAATCTCAGTTGGTTTAAAAAAAATATAGCTGCTAAAATGGCCCAGCCAGTCTCCTGACTTGAATGCAATAGAAAATCTATGGAAATAGCTAAACATCATAGTTCATAGAAGAGGCCCACGGAACCTTTATGATTTGAAGACTGTGTGGAAGAATGGGACAAAATCACACCCGAGTAATGCATGCGACAAGTTTCTCATTACAGGAGGCGTCTTGAAGCTGTCATTACCAACAAAGGATTTTGTACGAAGTGTTAAATAAATTTCAGTTAGCGTGTTCAATATTTTCCCTGTGTCATTCCATTTTATTACACATAACTCAATTTCTGAAATTATTAGTCTTTGTATGGAATTCATGGGTTGTTACTGACATGTGAAAATTTCATGTCAATAGCACCTTTAGAAATATATTTACTGGGAAAAATGGTGACATGTTCAATACTTATTTTACCCGCTGTAGCTGATGGGAGATCTATATATAGTATAGAAAGTGGGTGTAATGAAAGAGGTGTGGTCCAGAGTGGTGAACACACCCTACCATGCCCTCTTCTGTGATGTAATAAGGAAGTGAGGGCTTCTGGGAGGTGGCCTTCCAGAAGTGAATGCTGAGAGATAATCTTAAGGAAATTATGGAATATGAAAATCAGTTCAAAATCTCACATAAACTGACAAAAAAATAAAACGTCCCGTGGATGAGGTACATGAGAGGAAAGCACATTAGGATAGCTGGGCCAGTAATGGCATTGGAAACCGCTTCTATTTATTTATTATGAAAAGTGAAATTCTGCCCAAAAAGGTGAACTTATCCTTTAATGTCTGCTCTCTACATTACCAACTCCCTCATTGTGCTGTGTTTGTATATTCAGACGTGTACATATTTAAGCCAATTAAGAAAGCTTTATTTGCCTCCACATTTGTTTTGCTCATGCAGGTGCAAATCTAATTTGTTTTATTGCCAAACATTTCCTGCAGTATAAGCCTTTAATTATGATGGCAAGCAGTAGTTTTCCAAATGTATCTTCATCAATATCCTTGAAAAACAAAAAACTACAGAAGCTACGAAAAACATTAAATGCAGCCCACGGAAATTGCCTGTTTAAATATGTTGGGAAAGTCAACAAACAATAGATCTTTATTGAAACAGTGTCTAGAGATAAATGTGACATACTTTTAAAAGGACACAAGAAAATTTTGCATTTTTAATAATTTGTTCAACAAAGACACACTGTATATGTAGATGTAATAGAGCACAGTAGAAAAGTCAGTACAACTTTGGCATCAGAAGCTGGTATTGCCTCTTTAGCAGAAATTACTTTTTTTTTTAGGAATTTCATGTAACTGTCCAATACTGACATCTGCTGAGTGAGCTTTACCACTTCTTTGTGCAAAATTCTTTCAGTTGCAAAATGTTTGCGTTTCAATGCATTAACTATTTCTAAATTCCCCTACAAAATTTCAACGTGTATCAAATCGGGACTTTGAGTATGGGGCAATCATTCCCCTCTTCTTTTTGAGCCATTCCTTGGAGAATTTGCTATTGTGCTTTTGAATAATTGTAGCATTGAGACCCATTTCTGGTTTTTAACTCTGAAGTTTAAAATATTTTTTTTTTTCTGTGATATAGGTTTACCAGCACTACTTGTTTATGAAGTTTATCCTATGTCCTGCCCCTTTTAATGTAGACATGTTCCCTATGGTGATGACAGGTCCTCAGTCATGTTCTGTGGTAGGGAAAAGGTGGCTGAATGATGGGAACTGCTCCTCTACATGCAGTTTATGACTACAGTACAATACATAGACTTTTTTGAATAGAGGAAAGGACAAAAGGGGGCAGGTGACCACTGGGACTTCAATGTACTGCAGTGCTGGAGCTGAGAAAGTTAACCCCTGCAGCTCTGGAAGTTCAGGGCCATGAAGACCTGTCACCGCAGAGAACATTTCTATTAATGTTATATCACAGAAAAAAAAAAAAAGATAAATTCATCTTTTTAGCATGTGGCACCACATTCTCATCAAGCACACTTTTTGATATGATACATAATATGTAGTTGACTTGATGGTTGTGAGCTGCCAAGGTCCTGAAGCCGGAAAGCAACCCCAAATCTTGACATTTCCACCACCTTGCTGCAGGTATATTAATAAAATTGTAGATGCATGCACTCTGACACCAAACTGTTGCCCGAGATGTCTGCTAATCCCACAATGAAATTTCAGGGTTCTTGACCTTGAGAAGTCAATTTATAATCTGTCACTTGTAAATTATTTTCCTTCAATTGATTTAAAAAAAAAAAAGTAATCTTTCTAAATCTTTACCATACTCTTAGAAAAAGAGTATGGTAAAGATTAAAAAAAAAGGATGTGGCTATCTAAGGACCTTAGAATGCTTTTTTGATCTTGACACTACATGCCTCAGTAGCAAAGAGAACACCAGATCATGGATATCTTGCTGTTTTTAAAGGTTTCACATGCATTCTCCCTAGCAAGTTTCTAATCATTAGCACCTAATCTGGAACACCTTATTGTAATTCCATGGATTTGAAGTTTTGGCAAATTTAGTGGTGTAATTACTTTGTGATATGGCTAATCTGCATTTTGTTTTTAATTAACCTTTAAGTCACCATGGCTCTCACTGCCAACATACATGTGTAGAAACTTCCATAACACATTTTTAGCTTTCCTTGCGTTACAGTGTGACTTGAAAAGTCGAGCAGTATGGTGCCATAATGAATGGTGCAGATGCTGTTGTGAAATGGGGAAAAAAATATTAGCAGCTCTACTGTTGCAGGGAATAGGAGAGATCATTTCTAGTAAAGAGTAACGTCTTTGTTAAACGGTATCTGTATGTATTTGAACTGAAGCCATGTGTAACTTGTTTGTTCTGCTTGATAGGCATTTCCAAGTTCTTCGGTAATGACTGTTCTTTGAGGAAGGATGCCGTGTCTGCTTGTCTGCTGAAAGTTAAACTAATTCTCAATTGGTTTGAGCACCAAGACACCCTCAGTTTTTATGCGAGCTCCCTGCTCTTTGTTTATGATGGCTCCTGCCCCCCCAAAAATACAGATTTAGTTGATGGAAAACTGCTGGAGAAGAGTGTCTTTTCTAAAGAGTTGTTTACAGATGTTGAAGTTCCGGAATGCAATAACAACATAAATTTGTTGAGTTCTGTGAGCAGCAGGAAGGGAGAAGAGCATGAAGAGAAACTGTCTAGAGTCTGCGCTAGCCACAAGAAGACCTGCCCCAAGAGGCCACACAGCCAAGCCTTCCTGGAAGGGGAAACTGTAGAGCAAGACAGAGCATGGAAAAGTCAAAACAGTTCTGCACCAGAACATCTAAATGGAAACCTTCTGTCTAAACTGGAAAATGTCTTCTGTCACATTTCCACAGAGTCCAGGGAAAACTCGCAGGTTGATGTCAGGATGATTGATTTTGCCCACGTATTTCCGAGTGACGAAAAAGACGCTGGCTATATCTATGGATTGAAAAATTTAATTGCAGTCTTGCAGAGTATTTTAAATGAATAACTTTTGTGTCATGGTGATTGGGAGCCAATGACTGGATAATCAAGAACTTAACTTCAAGATTATTTGCACTTGTAAATTGTGGTAATTTTATTCCCTTCCCTTTTTATTGTGATTCTGCATTGCAGTCTTTTTCATCTTGGTGGAAGGGGGTCTGTCTTTTTATAATAATACTCAGGAATATTGAAGTGATCTGTAAGTGTTCAAGGAATTCGGAACCTGTGGTGGGCAAGGTGTGGCGATAACTTTCACTTCTCTGGTACAAGGTAGCTGGTAGGAAGGCAATATTATGGTGCTTACCTTTCTTATCTAGATTTAGCTAATTCTGAATTTGGGACCATTCTTCCAGGAACACATGCACAGTAAATGTGCAGTAGAATCTCATTACCTAATCTGGGCAGTGTCCATGAAAAATACAATGCCTTTTTGTATAGAGGCAGTTTGGAGGTTTATCTCCGCTGAAAAATATAGAACTGGAAAATGATATAGTACAATTTTCTTTTGGGAAAATGTAGGTTCTTCCTGTATTTTTGTTTTATGGTCTGCTATGAAGGGGTTGACTACTTTCAGTTAAAACTGGACAACTTTTGTAACAGACCCTACCCATCCCCCTCATAAACTGTTACCTTTAATCCTCCTCCGTATTCATTTTATATTTTCCTTACAAAGTCTGTCACTATACAAGTTCTTGTATAGTTACCTTCATAGAGCGCCATTAGCTGCAATACTGGCTTTCACCTATAAGCGCTTTTACCCAGAATGGGCAATGCCAATCTAGCAAGAATGGTAAAAGTAAGGAAAGTATGAACCAATGGTATCCTTTTTACAATAATATTGAGTTCTTCGAAAATCATAACAAATTACATATTAGATAAGTAACTTATACACGGCCTGGGAGCTCAGTGAGAGCCTTCCTGCTAGTCGTTCCCCATGTAGATAGATTAATTTTTCTATTATACAAATAATAGAAAAAAATTGCATCACGTAACCATGTTTTTTCATTGAAATGTACATTTTTATAGACTGCAATTTTGTGAACTGAGCCAGTGTGAAATGCAGTTTGTAATTTATCTGAACCCTCATAAGAAGTGACCTATCACTTAACTGAAGTAATAATTTTGTGCCTCTGTGATGTCAGCGGTTGTTTCCATTATGACTGCAACATAATGTAAATTCACAACAATTTTGGCTTCGTGCGTGTGTGCAATGTGTGAACTTTAAAACCATAAGAGTCCATGCATGCTGACTTAAAAAAACACTGCTCCTAAAGGAGTTTAACGTTTTGCCTGTATAAGCAACTAATGTTATCCTGTGTGTCCATGCACATTAGGTCATTTAGAGACATATTTTAAGCTCAGCATTTAGAGGCAGGAAAAACTAGTGTTTTTTTTCTGCCAAGAGCATTGGTGGTTTTAAAGCCAGTGTGCATAGACCCTTAGAAGCTTGCACAGCTACGAAAGGACTATATTTAGTTTAATGCATCTTGTATGACTTCACATGGCGTATTGTGCTGTTAATTGGCCTTTTTTCACCGTAGTCAATTTTATTTTTTTTGTATCCCAAATAATTTAAACTTTCTGAAAATAGATCCATTGCCTCATCACATGGTCAGTGTGATATTAGAGACTTCTATGTCCTGATGTGCTGAGATCCTAATTAAAATGTGTGCGTGTGTGTATAAGTATGTATGTTTCTGCTGTGTCCACAGAATATTCATAACCTAACTTTCAGTATGTTTTGTTTCTGATGTAGATTCCATGCTGCTTTGTAAAACTGGATAATTTTCTACCTCTTGAAAGAATATTAGATCTTGAACACCTGTCATCCCTGAAATGCCTCTAAAATGACAGGATCTAATGATACCTGCACATAAACATAATTTTCTGGCATTTTTACAGCCTTGGATCTCGCAACAGTTGTATGAAAATGTTTAACATTTCCTGCTTTGAGCTCCAGTTGGCCATCTACCAGTAGTGTCCTAATAACAAGGTGGTGGGTCAGCAGCAGTTCACCAAGATGTGAGGCCCTTGGGACAGAGGCCCAGTGGAATGCTAGTGCTGTAGCCATTTTAGCAGTTTTTTCAAGGGGTATGAGGTGTTTGTGTTTTTTTTTTTTTTTTTTTAATATTGCACTAAAAATTGTAAAGGTGAAGTCTACTGCAAAGCTTTGGTATCCTACCACAGCAGAGATCGTGGAGCCAGGAATTAAAAAGCGATCAGTCACATACTCATAAGGGGTGATGCGCCTGGCTGTTTAACCCTTAATATTCCTATGGTTCCTATAGTAAATTCTGTAGGGGACAGGTGGCAAAACAGCATAAAGCAGTGAGATGTGATTACCTGACATCTGTTGTATGGCAGGAGAGTGTGCGGGGATTACAGTTGGGTTCAGGGGTGGTATCCACACAAACAGAAATCTTGTCTTGGTTTAATTTGGTTGTAAATACTTACATATACCCAGTGAAGTGAGTGGCCTCAGGTGATGGAGATGAAAGAAATTCCTACAAAAGATGTACCTGTCTATCTGCATATCCATGCAAAGTGCTGAGTTTTAAAGCTTTTCTAAGTTTAAAAAAAGGGGGTGGAGAGCTGAAATTACACTCAGCAGAGCTCAGTGAGGAGAGCTCTGAGAGCAGATTGGAGGGAAGGGACACACCCCCTCCACACAGCACACAGGAATAGAGCCCAGGCTGTCAATCTGCTAGAGGTCCCTTCTCTATCAACCTTTCTCTTGGTGTCAGGAAAACCTGTCAGAGGTAACTTGTGCTGATATCAGAGGAACAAAGCAGCAGACAAAATGAAACTTGGTGCTCTTAATTGAGACAAGTACACACTATAGTGGGATATGCTTTGTTCATATTTCATGTCTGAGGTTTACAACCACTTTACATGTTTTTTTTTTTAAAGGATAAGTTCACCTTTGGGAACATGTTATGTGTTTCACCTGTTTTTAGGGTAGAACCGCCGTCCGAACGGAAAGCAATTTAAAAAAAAAAAAAGACACCTTTTCCTGCTCAGAAAAAGTTTTTGCCTATACTTTTTTGGTTTTAGGTGTTGAAAATTCAGTTTTCTAATGTCCCATGTATCTTTGATTTAACTTTTTAATGTACTACTCATTTTATAGTACAGACTTCTCATTTAAGAGTCCTCCATCCACATTTCCTACCTTTTACAATATATAAATTTTGTGCATTATTCAAGGCGGCACGTTGCCCTATTCTTGGACTTTTGTTTGTAGAAGAGGGAGCTCTGGGGCAAAAAAGAAATATGGGTTAAATTTAGTAACCTAAAAGACATGGATATTTTTTATGAAAAGTTATATTTTTGTGTTTCTATTTGCATTCCTGGATTTGACTGCATTTGCCTCATCTTTTGTGTGTTCTATTTTTCTACCAGTGGTGCACAGTTGGTTCAGGGAATGTAGATTCTAAAATCTCTAGTGTGGAAGATGTGGTGAGTGTTTACCTGAGTGAGACTTTCAAAATCATGACAGACCATGATTAAATGTGGTCTTTAGGGGTGGATGCAGCATGCCTAATGTTACTTCAATCTAGCTTTCCTTTAAGAACTGCAGAATCCAGATATTCGGAGCGGTGGTGAATGTTGCTGCATTGGATTTATCTATACCTTGAAAAAAATCTTTGTATATTCAATATTTGCCCTATTGCTCTTCTAATGTCCTAAAAAGCAATAAGGAGAATATTGGGCACATTCAGTAGTTTCAGGGGGTACTGACTATTTGTTTACGATAGAGAAGTGTTTTCTTAAAGGGTACCAGAGATTAGAGAATTATCAGACCCTATATAATTCTCTATAACCAGTCACTGAGTTTTTAATACTCCAGCTGCTACTTGCATAATGTGACTGTATAAGTCAGTGCATGGGTCAATGAAGATGTGCAAAGTGCAGTAATTTTATACTCTGACAGTTGGACTCACCAGTGGGATAGTGGCAGACACCATTTTTGGCACTGAGGGGTATGATCTCCTGGTTCACCAATATTTTCTGTGTAGGCTTAGAATAAAGTAGCGTGCCCCTTAATGGAATATACTGGTCTATTGACTTTGTTTATTTTACATATACATGTTTGAACATATTGAGAACTGATCTGGAAACCACCATTACATAAAGACTTCCAAATATGAACATTAAGTCAAACTTTACGCTAGCTCCTTGCAGTTGGTCACTGAGGGCATTCATATTAGAGGGCTAAACGTCTGATATCTTTGTGAAGTTATTTGCATAACGAAGCAAATCTAAAGCCTTGTAGACATAGGCCGAATATCAGGTGTCATCGGCTGGTTCAATTAAAAAAAAAAAAGTCCGACATTCGGTCAGTGTGTACGGCGGCCAGTTGGACAGGAACCAGCTGGCTTCTGTCGAAGGGGCATGACCGAAAAAGTTCTGCCAATCAGAATCTGTTGGCTGAGCATGCTGACTGCTGTGTTCTGGGTTGGGGGTGGGTGGCGGTGTCCCCTTGTCAGTACAGCAATCTGCCCCACTGAGCTATTGTTTTGTAACATTGGATTGTTAGTACTGTGGATGCTCCTGAGCTCTGCAGTCTTTTTTTTTTTTTTTTTCATTCAACCCAGAACAGGAAAAAAAACCCCCAAAAACTGCTAGTGTGTACCAAGCTTAACCTTCAAGGCTCCCAGGCAGCTCTAGAAGGTTGCTAAAGGTACGCATGGACACCTGGTTAACTGCATGATCTGTTTTACTTTATGGCGTCTTGGTTCACTACAGGTTTAGTTTGTTTGATGGCCTTTTATAAATAAGCACCTTAACTTTGAACATAATGAAAACTTTTAAAATCACAGTTGAAGGGCATGGACATTTTTTACTACATAATTTCCAAGTATTTTTTGCTGCTTTTTGTTCTTTCAAGTTATATGTTTTAATTTAACACAGCTGCTAAAATGGAAATAAAGCTGACAAAGGACATATTGGCCAGTTTAATTCAGTGTCCAGAAGTTGGATCTTATGGTAATCCTGTCCATTCTGGAG